TATCAGAATATATGGTCCTCTACATAGTTTAATAAATAAGTCGCACTGCAGCAAGTATTCCCACAATATTGTCAGCTGCAGATTCTCCCTCAACGGTTGGGTTTTTATGTACTTTCTTCTGAAAGGCTGCCGAGAAGCTGGCTCCAAATTAGACTAAAAGCTTTTGTTGAGAATTCAGTTCATGCTATTTTGCAAATTCTGCCAGAGCAACTGAGTAGTGACAATTACCATGCTGCACTGCTGCAATAATAATAATAATAATAATAATAATAATAATAATAAAATAAAATTTAGAATAATAATTGTTGCATCCAGTCCTCCGCCATGCAAAAGAAAGGACCTAATTATTTAGCAAAGCTATTGCCTCCCCCACCCCCCACTTCACCCCAACAACAAAACAATAATAGAATAAGAAATCACTGGAAAAGGTAGTATATCTGTTAAACTGTTATCTCTGAAAATGCACAAAGGTAGCTAGAATGAAGACAAGCCAGGAAATGACAAGGTCTGGGATGTTACATAAAAATGAGCTTGGAAAATGAGCTTAAGGGACTTAAGTCCATTGAACAGAATTTGGCTACGAGTTCACATGATAACAGCGCTATCAAGGTACATATGTACAAACCTCACCCCACCTAGAGCTGGCCCAAAATTCCTTGGAATTTTCTGACTTTTCTTCTTCTGAGAATGTTCCCTTCCAGACTCCCACTGAACTGTCAGAAAATTTCAGGGTTTTCTGTTTTTTATGTACAGGAGAGGAGATAAACAATTGCCTGGGGAAAGATTGTTGGTGGGGGCTTCTTAAACGAGAAATGCTTTTTAATGTAGCCACACACATCTGTCTGCTTTAAAGGGGGGTGGTTGCTTCGGTCAGTATGCAAAGAGAACCATGTGACTGTCTTAAAGCCTTTGCATCTCTCTGAATATGGTTAAATTTCTCAGATCCAGACATTAAAGTGGAAGTTGTAATGTGTAAAATCATACACATAAATGTGTATGACAGGTGGCCTTTGCACACCTGCCAGTCATATGACATCATATTGGCGTGGTGTGGTCAAATGCACCTAACTATTAAAGTATAGTCTAATCCAGAGAGCCAGTGGGTGTAGTGGTTAAGAGCGGTAGTCTTGTAATCTGGGGAACTGGGTTTGCATCTCCGCTCCTCCACATGCAGCTGCTGGGTGACTTTGGGCCAGTCACACTTCTTTGAAGTCTCTCAGCCCCACTCACCTCACAGTGTGTTTGTTGTGGGGGAGGAAGGGAAAGGAGAATGTTAGCCGCTTTGAGACTCCTTAAAGGGAGTGAAAGGCGGGATATCAAATCAAACTACTCCTCCTCCTCTTCTTCTTCTTCTTCTTCTTCTTCTCTTCTTCTTTCTTCTTCTTCTTCTTCTTCTTATCAAATTATTTGGTTCCTTTGCACTTACCTGGTGGTGATGACAGGAGAGATTTCTGATTGTGTGCATTTCAGTTGTGTGCAGTGTTTTGTTTTTTAAAAAAATATTTTATTAAAGTTTTCTTGGTTTAAAAAGGTATGCACAATCCGTCCTTGTATTGGAAAACCCATAAAAATAAAAATAAAACAACTTGCTGTTAAATAGGTCCTTAAGGAATCCCAAAGGGTGTCTTGGTGAGTTGGCATGATGACCAATGAGAAGAGGTCAAACTAAGGAATGAAAGGAGAT